TCCTACTTTCCATCTTTGAAGGATAAAAAGTGTATACCTCCTAGTTTTCATCCTTCCTACTTTTCATCATTTCTACCAAATAGAGCATAAGAGTAGGGTTTCGAAGAAAAAATATGGAAAGTGAATGAAAGATGTATGAGCAAACAATACATGCAGGTAGAGGTGGCAATCTTAACCCCCCCATTAATCTGCTCAACCTGTCCATAAATAAATAGGTTAGATACCTATATTAATAAATACGGGTTATAAATAGGTTGAGTAATATAATTTATTTTAATTAAGCAGGTTAATATGGATTATAAATGAGTACTTATTGAGTTGATTATTTATCTTTCTATTGATAACACAAGTAATAAAATTAAATAAATATACTAATATACCAAAAAATACACACACTAACGTACTAAAAAATACACACATTAATACACTAAAAAATACACACATATCACTAATACACCAAAAAACACACACACACACACACTAGCACACCAAAAACACACATACAAATACACCACCCAAGACCACACGGTCGACCCGCGATCAATGGGCCGACCCATTATGTGTGTGTATTTTTTTTTATTAAATGTGTTTTAATTTTTGTATATTAGTATATGTTTGTATATTTTTTGTGTATTAGTGTGTGTTTTAGTGTACTAGTAGGTGCACACCAGCTTGACACGTGAATAATATTAAATTATTGGTTGTTAATATTTTATGTTATCATTTCGCAAGTTCATTTGTTGTGGTTTAAATTTTGACTAATGAGATTTGAACGAAAAATGAAAGAGCTAAACAAATATACTAAGATTTAAAAGACAATATTAGTTCATGGTTGAGTGACCATAAGAGATGGAGGATGGATGAATTAAAGGGAAGAAGTAGTCATTCCCTAACGATTTGTACATAGCCTTAGTTAGCAGGTGTCACAAAACTGTATAGGTGAAAATTTCAGTGGTAAAAATACACATTTGCAGCATATAACCAGCATGGTCATGACTTTTCTCTTTTACATTTGAGCCATATGAAATGAATGCATCATTATCATGTCCACTAAATTGAACTAATTGTCATTATAATTCTATGTAAATTGATTATAATTATCACTTAGCCAGTTGGGTACATGCCTAGACATGGTATTAACAAAATTGATAGTCTAACACATCAAAAGTAACTTAAGGAAAAGCAAATTAACCTGCACACATTGTAGACCCACTAAAATTTATCAAATCATCATTGACCCAACAACAAGGCCAATAGAAGACCCAAAAAAAAAACTACTGAATCAATAGAAGGGTAAGTACCAGCTAAAATTACCTAAATCACACAAGGTCCAAAAGAACTCATTTAGGGTCTTTCTTATGCTTCTTTGCTTAGTGCTTGTTGGATTTGCTTTTCATCTTAATTTCCATGCGCTACTCCATCTTTTTTCCCTTGGATTTTTAGGTAGAAAAGATAGATAATGTCATTGTATTTAACTTAAAAAGAACTTCTTATGATCAAAAAGAAAAAAAAATAAAAAGAACTTCATGATTGTAGCCAAAGACACAAATATGGATACACCACCATTATTTACGCATGACTTAATTTATAATACAAAACAGGATAGACTTTAATAAACTCATCCAACAATTTCAAATAGACTCATCCAACAGTCATTAACATTCCTCTCAAAACCATTTACATTGAATTTCCCTTCCCATACAAATCCATCACTTCTCACTTATGTTGCACCGTGCTTTCAGATACGGATTATCCCTAGTTTGTCTATAAATATAGACACATAAATACGTACATATGTATGCATATATGTATATCTAATCTCTCATTGAAATCTACGTTTTCTAGAATTAAAGTCCAAATCATTTTGAGCATATACAAAGATTAAAGGTGGCAATAATTGTGGGTATGGTCCCCAACAACCACATAAAACAACTAGCAAGTTGTTAATCTTTAATGTTGTGGATTCAAACTTTGTCACCTTCTCTCCGTAATAGTTTTTGATTAAAAAAAAATAGAAAATATGGTAGGTGGTTTAGGGTAATAGAATAAAAAATTCAATTCATTTAAGGAGATTCAATGATTCAAGACAACAACAATTAGGGATTAGATCACCGAAAAACAATATAATGATTAAAGAATTCATTTGCATGTGTAAGGCATAAAGAATTCTTAATTAGTCCATGTGTTTACCTACAAATAAAAATGACTTGGAAAGAAGCAAATTATAAGAAAAGACTTGATGAGATTGTTCTTTTCTTGACCTAATGCTTTGATATTAAATTATCCCAATCAAGTTTGGATTTTTTACGGTTGTTAGATCAACCAGATTTATTCTTTTTAATCCCAAAAAAAGTAATTTTTCCCATTTTTAGTGGGTGCCATTCATATTTTGTTTGGAGGGGGAAGCCAGGGGGGGAGAGAGAGGTGATGAGGTTTGAACCCGTAATCACTTGCGGGCGAGAGTAAACTCTATTCGGTGAGCCACTCCCCCACTTCCATAAATACTCTTCAATTTGTATACGACACAATTAATAAAATTGTCAAATTAGTGTCATGACATTTGTCATGTTTAATAAAATAGATTAAGTTAGTATTAATAAATATATTTTTTTACTCAAAATAGCATGACATGAATATGATACTATGTAGTCTAGATGCTAGTGTGTAAGTGTGTATATATATGAACCATACTTGCATTAACAGGACACACAAGGATATACCCAAAAAATTTATTGGTAAGTGTGGACTTCTGGTACTTAGAATATATATGTGTGTGTGTATGTGAGTGTGTGTGTGTGTAAAGTTACAAGGATTTGAAACACAGTACCAATCCTTGTGACGAGTCTGCAAATTGAGAGGAAAGAGCACCGTGAAAACTCTCCATCTGTCTTTCTTTCATTTCTGTTTGTCGATCTATCACTCTTTATCACATACTGGTAACGTTCAGAGTTATAGTGATTCAATGTCTTCCTTCCCCATATATTAGGGACATGAGTGATAAAAGAGTTGATGTGATGAAGTTGAAGTAGAAGATTGGAAGAAGGAGCCAGTTTTTTAAACTACATGCAAAGTTACTGAATTTGGAAAAAGAATCTAAAGAGTTGAAATGACTAACATTAACTAAAGAGGTGAAGAGTTGTAACGGCCAAAATGACAATCATTATTTAATATATGATTGAAGTTATAATTAGGGTCGTGTTACTAGTACAATTGTGTTACTAGACTGACCCCAATGTTACTATAGTGAATTTTAACATACAATTGTAAATCTTGAGACGTATATTATGTAGCATACACTTTAATATTCACAGTAATATCAAAATTTTGTGATCAGTAACACATCTAATTTTACAAAATACAAAACAATAGTTTTTTTACAATAACATCAACTTTTGAATGATTTTAGTGAAAATACGATCCACAAATTAAAAATTTGCAAAATGACGAATAGTAACACACAATCAACAATTGAATTACGACACTCAACAATAATTGTGAATATCAAGACATCGAAATTCTGAACTTTATTTTTCGGTTCACGTATAGTAATATGAACTTTTTCCACAATAACACAACCAATGAATACTCAATTGTCTTGCGCAACAAAAAAATCAACAAAATCAAAATCTATGATACTTTAATTTAGTACTAATGTATAAGTTCTCTTGAATCTTGGTTATAAGGTTAATGTCCACTTTGATAGAATTAAATCCCTAATTGTTATTTACTTTTTTACCATGTCACTATTTTTTTTGTGAGCATGTTACTATTTTTTTTGTGACCATGTTATTATCTTTGTTGAATATGTTACTATTGTTATTTTTTAAACATTAATATTCAATATTAATATTTTTTCGATGGAGTCCAAAGTAAATTGGAATGGTAAATTGAAATTGTATTTTATGGAATGTAATTAGTTTGAAATTTGAATATGAACGATTTTTGATAAATATTGGTTTCTTGTTTTTCGGATAAGGAAACATTGTGGCTTGGAAGATTGTAGCCAGATTTGAAGGAGATTATGAATGAGATATATATGGCAGGTTATTGTGTTCATAAGCGTCGTTTATAACATTCTTACAAGGAGGGGTTACAATAATAAAATTGACAAAAAAGGGACTTAAAACTAACTAAATTTTCTTGACGGACTTATCTTCAAATAAGTCTATATAGATTATAGAGGGACCATTCTCCAAATTTTCCTAATTGTTTTTCATAGACTATTTATGATATCTAAAAATTTGGGACTTTTCCTAAAAATGGGGCCTAAAGCACAAACATTTCAACTACACTGTTGAGATGCCCTTGTAGAGGAAATTCAACACGATTGAATAAACGGGTTGATCATGTCAATTTTAGGTTTGACGGGTTAAACCCAAAAATGACTCATTTTTTAGTATTTAAATATATGAGAGGATGATACCTAAAAAATTATGTATGGTAACCTGACAAGGGTGTTTATGTAATTTTAGAAAATTAAGGAGATATTTCTATAATGAGATCAATTTATAAGGGGTGTCAATGTAATTTACCCTTATTTTAAATCATAATAGCATTCCTTAATCCTCACATTATTTTAAATCAATTTACCCTTATTTTAAATCATAATAACAGGGCATAAAATTAATGTGTTTTGTTTACGTATAGTGAGCTTGTGGTATTAGTTGGTGACCATGATCGAGGCGCGAGGGGAGTGTTGCAGACCCTTGCCCCGAACCAATGGCTGAGTGGAATTGTTCATGAATGTTAATTTTGTTGATTTTATTGTTGTGACGTTATGAGAATGAAACTAAAATATCGTGTAAAAAATGTATTTGGTAATTGATATGTGTGCATGCATCGCTCCACAAACGGGACGATGGTACTTACTTACCGTCTTCTCTGTAAGTACATGTTTTCATTTTTGAAAATTTTTTAGTTGCATTATGCAATAAAAAGTTTGGGTCATGTGACAAACAAATTAATAGGTGTCTATTTGTGAATTTATGCAACAATAAGCCATGTCAAGCACCATCACCCGCAATCAGGGTGCAAGGGTAACTCAAAAAAGGCAGAAGTTTAGTCGCCTCCCACTCCCTAATTTTACAACAACTACAAAGGTAGTCCATATTGGTTTAATTTGTTTTCTATTTGTTTTTAAGTTAGTCTATATTATGAATAATTGTCTATTTGTATGTAGATTTATGTACCAATGAACGATGAAATATCACATTGGTATCTTCTATTGGTGGATATAGAGGAGAAACAAATATTTCTACTCGATCCTCTGCCAAGTCCAAAACGAAACAATATTCGATGCACAAATGCGAATAGAGTTGTAAGATACTTATTGTTTTCATTTAGCAAAGGATACCTGTGTGCAAATTTTGTTTTTGCAATTACATTCCAAACTTGTTTTGTAGATTGAGGATTTGGATGACATTCTTGCAACTAGGGCTCCCGATTTTAAACACAAATTGGGCAAGTGGAAGCTTGTTAAACCAGCCTGGATACCCAAACAAGCCAATGGTTTTGATTGCAGCATTGTCGTTGTGAAGATGGTGCAATCATCACATTTGGGGCAAGGTTTTACATTAAAGATGAATAACAATAAATAGTTCGTGCCGACACTGCCGAATAGCTTTAATAATACTACAATAAAAAGAGTGTCATTTGTAATGGTTCACCTTTGGTAAATGTAGGATAAGAGTGAAGACATTCGAAGGGAGGTGGCTATTAACTTGGTCATCGCTGGGGAGCACAATTTGAGAGATAAAATCATACATATGTCACAAGTTTTGTCTTAACATGTGTATTGGTTCATTGGGGATTCAAGGAAGAGTCCTGTATCTTATGGTGATGGAGCAGCTGTCACGAATTCAAAGGGTAAGGTGATGTTTTCTGCATCATTCTTCTATGGGGATTGTTCAAATAAGGTTTAGGGAACTGTGTGATGTGTTGCATATGATTGTGGGTTATGGACTCTCTTGTTATAGTTTCATACTTGGAATTGATTAATTTGTTCTTGTTAATTATGTGTTGGGCTTAAGTGATTCTTCTTGTGATTGCTTGGGTTATTTAAGATGAATCTGATCATTGCTTTGTAGTTTGGACTTTTAGTTAATATTTCAATGATTCAAGAAGCATGTGTTCTGTGTTAGATAGATTAGTTGTGTCAACATATTTAAGTATGTATCCCTGCTAATCAAATTTAATTTTTTTTGAATTGGCATATGCAAAACGTGTAATTGATAGGAGATTTAATGATGCATCCATCCAGAGTGACATCAAGTTGTGGCCTTTTAAGGTCATTTCTGGTCCTACTGACAAGCCAAGGACTGTTGTCAACTACAAGGGTGAAGATAAGTCATTTGTTGCTAAGGAAATGTCGACTATGGTGCTTATCAACATGAAGGAGAATGTTGTTGAGGCTTTCCACAATGTTGTTCTTGTTGGTGGATCAACCAGAATTCACAAGGTGCAGCAGCTATTACAGGACGTATTTAATGGGAAGGAGTTGTGCATGAGCCATTGCCAATGATAATAAAGAAGAAGGTGGTCGTGTATGATGAAATGGGTTGACATAGCGGATTAAGGGTGAATGCATGTGTTGATGTGGAGTTGTGTTGTGATTTGTGTATGTACTCTGTAAGTAGTGTTGATTTGTTTGAAATATGTAGGTAAGGAAAGATGTTCAGGTTTTGTATGGAAGCATGAAAGTGCATTGGATGGTTTGTTTTGATTTAACTTTAAAAGGTGTTATTTGTTATGTTATGGAGATTGGTTTGTCTATCTCCGTTGCTTCTTGTAATGCTGATTTGTTCATAAATAAAATTTTTACCATTTTGTTAGTTGCTTGTGGTGCTGTTGTATCTGGTTTATTGGGTGATCAGTTGGTAAGGGATATACAGGATTGTGATGTTTCATTAACTGGACAGGCTTATAGTTGAATCAGATTCTTTGCCTTGGGTAAATATGATACAGGCTAATGCATCATAATCTATTGGGTTTGCCCATTGTGAGGAAAAGCTTCGACTGGTTTGACGCATAGATACCAAAGCAACAGCTGAATGGTGCTTGGTTGAGGAATCGGGCATCTATTGGAATGATTTTTGTCATAGTATATTGTCTTGAAGGATTAAAGCCATAATTTTGGCTAAGCTATTTCTTGTTAAAATACTTTGCTTCTTGTACTTTTGGATTTACTAAGTAAAATATATCTTTTCCTTTAAAAAAAAAATTGGTGATGCTATACAAGCTGTCATTCTGAGTGGTGATGGCTTGGTTTTGCTGCTATATTGTTGTTCATGAAACAATGTACATTCTAGTTACCAATCCACATTGTATTCCAATATATAAATATCGCCTACATAATCACATTTCATTCACCAGTCAACATTGTATTCCAATAAATACATCCTACCTAACAAAGCACATTCTAGCTTTAAGGCAACATTGTATTCCAATATATGCATCCCGCCTAACAAAGCACATTCTAGCTCTCAGGCAACAAATTATTCCACTATATACATACCACCTACCTACTCACATTCCATTCACAATTCAACATTGTATTCCACTATATACATACCGCCTACATTCTCACATTCCTGCTAATATACTTCTACATTTCCTCGTTTCTATCCCTCGTTCTTGAGCCATATGTATGAGTTTATTCTGAACTTTGTTGTCATCATGAGTAGCTAATGAAAAAGCAAAATTTATCCTCATTTTGTTCGAATCTTCTTGTGATCAAATGATACCAAGTGGTTAAATTAATGAGCTTTGAGGAGGGATATAAACAAATTATCAAATGATACAATCGCGACATGTCGTAGGTTGCATGTTATATAGTTCACCTTAATGCTAAATCTTGGCCAAAGCAGTGGAGACAGGATCATCTTGACAACAAACATTTCACAATCATATCCATTCCCCTGACGTGGGGCCCAAGACGGTGTGGACAAAGTGAATGTTCCCAAAATAGTTTGGTAGATATCATGTGTAGCTTCAAGCACATCATCTAATTCAAATAGCACATTATGCACAACATTCAGCCAAATAGAAATATCGTCACAAGGAAGCGGGTCCAACAAAAGAGCCTTCTGTTTAGTTACGTCAATGATGCATAGATACCAATGAGAGTTGTTCTCGTTGATCAGGATGTATATCTAAAGTTGTTTACACAAACAAACATTGTCAATAAGCGTGGATCAATTTATCTAATGTTAGGTCATTGAAATCAAAACGGATTAACTATATGGTTAATACACACCTTGTCACGGTATGTAAAATCTTTTATGTACTTCCTATTCACAGCACACATAGATTGAAGCGAACTTTTTTTACTTTCACTATTAGCCATAGCCCGAGATAGTGCCTGTTGCTAAATACAACAAACAAAATTATAATCAACATATTGTATGTAATTTTGTTTAAAAAAAAATTAGGTACTACAAATAAACACAATTTTATTACTGAGAACCACATGGGTAGGTCCCACCTCTCTAATCCAGTTTTTGGATTTGTCTTATCTTCCTTAGATAACAAATTGTGAGTCAAATCCACAACCTGTTACAGTCATAGGAAAATACCAAAGTAAAATGCAATTGGTTTAAGTTATGGTAATGACGTATGAATAAAAAAAACCCAAAATTAACCAACTGAATCAAGTAACCACTGCTTTGGTAATAGTGTCATGAAGAAAAGGCATCCAGCATGGTCATGTTCAAACCTAATTAAAACCTCTCTGTTTTTAAAAATAAAAAAAATTAAATATTGCAAAGAAAAAATAAGCATACAAATATTTTCGATCACATATTAATACATATTTTAAAATGTATCAATGGTTATATTTAAAATAAAGATACCTCATGTCAAGATTCTTGTCTAATATGTAATTCAGAATCAATTGCTTATCTTGAAGATAAAGTATGTCTACATTTTCATATTCCTCAACGTGCTGTAGAATACCCAAAGTAGAATCTGAAATCTGTTTACCCAATCTGTGACATTAAACTACCATTCAAGTTTGTCACATAATCAACAACGGAAAAAATCAGACCTTATGAATTTCAACAACTGATGCACTATTACAAGACACTTTCAGTTTGTTAGCAGAATTGTGCGGAGTCTTGTACACATCGATCGATGCCTTGTTGTCATAACAATTCATGTTGTAACCGCCCTGTGCAAAGAGAAATTGAACATACACATGTAAAAAAAATTGGATAATAATAAATGATGTGATAACCTTAGGCATTAAATGTTTATGCATGGAATCATCCCTTGGTTGAATGTGATCTAGGGGATTATTCGCCCCCCCCCCCCCTTGCCCTCTTTGTTATCATCCTTCTTCACCCAACAATGTTGTCATTGAAGGGAGTAAAATATAAGTGAGGATAATGTATAATGTAATTAATAAAATATGTTTGATGTATGTTATGCCTTTGACTATTCATATGGTGAAATCATATATTTGCTTGTCCTCCGTTTAGAATCTCTTCTTAGCTGCATTGGTGGGAACGATGTTTGGGTGCATCAGTAAGAAGCCTCTTGCATGTCACCAACATTATTCTATTTGTAACCCTCATTGCTAGTATTCAATGGTCATCGTCGTGCCTCCTGGAATGGTTTTGGTGGTGGGGTGCAGACAGCAGCAATGGGTGTCTAAATCTGGTAATCCACATCCACTTCATTATGGGAATTGGCATTTACATTTTCATTCAAGTTGATTTTATTTTTTTTATCATCAACTTCTCCAACAGTAGTATCATTGTCTATCTCTTGGTAATTTGATGGTTTAGGAAATGATACACCCATGAACATTTGCATCATGCTAACCATTGAGCCCACCATGCCAATTAGGTTAACAATCACATTCTCCATCCTACACATTCTGGCCTCCCATTCATGCACATTTACACAATTCATCACGTGTCAAAAACTATTATAAATTAATGTGATTTGAGTATCATGGTATATACGTACAGGTGGTTTTTCATCTGATATCAAAATAGTTTGCTTCACTTCATGGGTGGATTGTTTACTAAAGTTTACTGTAGCGCTGGTAGGGGTCTATTCATGGTGTCGTCAAACACTTTGCAAGTAACTTCTTGACATGCTAGTCGTTTGGACTTATTCAACATGCTTACATGTTTCTTAATTTCCTCATCCCTCCATGCAGCAATTCGAGAGTTGCTCCTACAAGGTGGTTGTTTAACAAACACCCCTTTGGATGTGACCCGCTCTAGCTATACTATCTATATTAAAAAATAAAAGAGGTAATTCAGTAAAAGTATTGTGAAACAAGCACAACATAAAAATACTAAAAAAATAAATTGATGCCTTACCATAAGAACAAGTAAACATCCACTAACATTTTTCTGATCATGTGTTTGATATTTTCGTACCCTTTCAACCATACCATCAAATTCAAATTTCGCCCAATTTCTCTTTCCTATAGAAGGAACGTCTAAAACAGTGTGAAGATACCCAATGCCGATTGAAGTACGCATGGTTGGGTATAGAAGATGTCCAATAAGAAATAGCACAAAATATATCCTAAACTCATCCGAAGTCACTTTAAGTACACAAAGTCTCTCACTCACGTGTCTCAACGGGATATCCTTAACTCCATTGAACAATGAATTCCAAATGCTATGAATTCTTTCACTAGGCTCAGTAGTCTCCACGTCCAACCCTTTGTTTCTCAAACACATGACACATTCTACATCAATGGCTGATAACTGAATAGCTTAACCATAGACATTTAATGTCAATGACATAGTGTCGAATCGTTCAATCAACCATGCACATAAACCCCGTCTCAGTTCCCCACATCTGAGGCTCAATATCCCCCCAAAATCAAGTTCTTTTATTGCAACTTTCTACTCATCACATAAATTTTGTGTCATTTTTACAATTTTCCCAGGCGAACACCTTGTACCAAGCGTCCCCTTTGATAATTCGTCAAAACATAGACAAAAAATTCAGTTTGAGAGGTGCAGTAAATGTAAACCATGCACATAAAAATTAACATCGACATTATATATTTACCCTTACTTTCATTTCCCCAGAATTATCTTTCACACGATCATATTGGTCTTCGCATGTATAGACATTTATCTGTATTTTTGTTCCTCACTATCTACCATCTTCCTCCATTGGTCAGCAATTTGTTTAATCACCTTATGAGTACAAGTTCAATTGGAAGATATTATTAATTTCACTATTCCAAACAATACTCTCTCTTTGTAACACAAATTATACCTTGCATGTGACTTTTTTATCAGTGTTTTCTTTGATATTCTCCATTTGTTCCTTATTGTAATGGAAGTACAACAAATGTGTACATTATCAAATAAACATTAACCACAAAATAATTTGACACTACAATACACAAATTTTTCATACTAGTAAAATAGCCATGCACCAGGTGGACGTTGTGGTTTCAAGCCTTCGGCCTTTGACTCCTGCGACCTCTTCTTTCCCTTGGAATATGTACCATAATATGAAGTCTGGAATGTGATGAACCTGAAA